CATTAAATCTGAATGGACGCAGGTCGAGAGGTTTCCGCAGTCAGCTTTACTGATTACTGAATTAGTTTCTCTGCATCCATCTGTCCATGAAGACCAGAGCTTTTCAGATGCGCTAATAGAGATGTTTTTGTCAATAATGTTTAACTCTATGGCTGTTTAAGGAAAAAAAAAAAAGTGAAATAAATGTATATTCATTTAATGAAACCACGTTTCGAGTGAAATGCATTTGGAAATAAACCATGTTATCAGCCTCTAATCAGTTTTATTTTAGAATAATTTACATGCTATTCATATTTTTTATATTTTGTATTTTCAGGTTTCATTTTAATTTCTAGTGATTTATGTGCTTTTTTCATTTGTATTCATTTTCGTTCTTCGTTCTATATATTACTATTTAAGTTTTTAAATAGTATTTTTTAGTTCAGTTTTAGTTTTTATTTCCTATTAGTAATTTTAATGCTTCAACGAACTTATTTCAGTTACAGCGATATTTTGAGATATTATTATTGTTTTTATTAATATTTTGAATTAGTTTTTTTTATTTTTATATTTTGTTTTCATTGAAATTTTAGTAAAGTTGTAGTAATTTTGTTGTGTATTTTTGTCATTTCTATTAGTTTTTTTATGTCTAGTTTTTATACATTTTTATTCCAGTTTCAGTTATTTTAGTGCATCAAGTTAAACTAAATATGAAAATAAATAAATAAATATAAAAATATATAATAACTATAAAAATTAAATACAAATAATAAAATAATAAATATAACTATAAAAAATATATACTTTTTTCTTATACTTCAAGTGTACTTTTTTCTATATTTTAGTTAATTTCAGTTAACATATATTTTATTTTAAGTATCAAATTATATGGTTAAACATTTTCCCACATAATATTTATATGTTCTTTCATTTCAGCTAACAAAAATATTTCAGCTTAAGATAACCACCCAGAAAAAAATCCTGCACATCATTAAATCTGAATGGACGCAGGTCGAGAGGTTTCCGCAGTGCGTCTCTGCGGTTTGTTACGTGGCTCAGCGTCACGTAGCCTATAAATCTGTCGGGTCAGCGTAACGGGAAACATTTAGACATGACTCGGTTAAAAGTTTGAGGTTTGAGCTGCAGCCCCTCAACCTACGGCTGCCACGTGCAGCTCAGGACGCGGCTGTGTAATTACGGCGCTCACCGCAGGACAAACGATGGAAAGACTGAGGAAAGCTGGAGTAATACCAGCGTCTGCTGCTGCTCATCCAGCTCAGTGCTTCATGCTGTCAGATTCTTAGAGTTCTTAAGAGCTGTATGCTTTCTAAGGGCCACAACAAACCCTTAAAGAGACAGTCCACCCAAAAACAAACATTCTGTCATCACTTACTACAAAAAAATATTTCGAGAAAAATTACCATTTAATGAAAGTCAGTGGGGTCCAATATTTTTTGGATCTCAGTGTTCTTCAAAATACCATACAGGTTTGAAATGACATGAATGTGAGTAAATGATGACAAAATTATCATATTTTGGCTCAAAACCCTTTAACAAATGTAAAAAAGTAGCTTGTACAAAGATTATTTATGACCCTGGAGCACAAAAGCAGTCTTAAGTCGCTGGGGTATATTTGTAGCAATAGCCAACAATACATTGCATGGGTCAAAATTATAAATTTTTCTTTTATGCCAAAAATCATTAGGATAATAAGTAAAGATCATGTTCTATTATATTTTGTAAGTTTCCTACCGTAAATATATCAAAACTTATGTTTTGATTAGTAATATGCATTGCTAAGAACTTCATTTGAACAACTTTAAAGATGATTTTCTCAATATTTAGATTTTTTTGCACCCTCAGATTCCAGATTTTCAAATAGTTGTATCTCGGCCAAATATTGTCCTATCCTAACAAACCATATACATCAATGGAAAGATTATTTATTCATCTTTCAGATGATGCATAAATCTCAATTTCAAACAATTGACCCTTATGACTGGTTTTGTGCTCCAGGGTCACATTTTAGTATAATTTATTAAGTCAATTTATTATTTTGTGTGCTGGAATACTCCAAGCACGTTACTTGATCTTACTTAGATACTCAAGTATTTGTAGAAAACTTATATTAATCCAAATATTGTCCTAACTTTCCAATCCTCCAATAGTTTAGAAAAAAGCACCATACAACCATACAACGAACTTAGTACGAGTCTTGTGCTTTATTCCAAGTATTATGAAATCATACAGCTTTCTGTCAGAAAGAATAAAAAGAATGTTTTTCATTGAAAATCTAACCTGATGATGCAGGTTCAATTCGAGACGTGTCAGCAGGTTTGACGTCGACTGTCGAAACCTGGCCTGGTTTTGGCCGACCTGAACGCAAGCGCGAATGAGATTTGAGAGCTATACTGCCTACACAAAGCTATTTAAAGCAAAGCACTTTTTTAGAAAGCCACAGTCCACTTCTTTTTCAATGCATGAGCGAATAGCTTAGACATTCTGCAATGTTTCAAAAAAAAAAAAAAATCCATAATACTGTAACGTGTAAATATTCTAAAACATATTTCCAGTGACGGTCAGTGTTCTCAGTTTTTGTTTGGATGCATGTGTGATGGTCACACTTTACCTAGTGGCATGAAGAACTGGACGCAGAATCAGCTTTTCTCTCATCTTGTCTTATCATCCGGACTCTGAAAACACAAGATATTTCATCTGTGAAAGCTTTCGGATATCGCTGGCTCCTTTCTGTGAGAGATCCAGTCTTCAGATACGGGGTAAAAACATCAACACAAAGCATTTTTGTCATGGTGTCTACAGGCTGTGTGTTGAATCGGGACACTGAGTCCATATCCAAACACTGTATAACTTAAAGAGCACTTGGAAAATGATTTTAAGGCAAGACACTACAGTTGAATAGGATGACAATTTAACTACTAGACAGCATCATACTCTCCTCAGCTGATTAATCAAATTTTCTGAAATGTTATGTTTAAATATGCAAATAAGGCATTAAGTCTTCACTAATTTGCATACATTTCAGGAACATAAATATGATCATTGGATAAAGTCAGGATGATAGTTCTCTGATTTTGTTGACATATTAGAGTTAAAGGTTTTTACCGAGGGGATTTTGGATTTCTCTTTTTATCACTCCATAAATCAGAAAATACAGTCAACGGACAGAAAAATAAACACATTTTCACCATGCTTTTAGGAATAAAATGTTGTAAAAATAAGTGTGAATGATATATGAACAAACCCTTCTATAAAAGCCTTCAGAATATAGAGAGGAATTAAACTCTAAGTTTTGGTGTATGTAAGTGCTGCTGAAGTGGAGAAAAAACTTCTGCAATCTACAGATGCAAATAGAATAAGTGAAATAAAACAAACACTTAAAATGTTTTTTTTGGATGTTTTCTTTCCACTAGTCTGAAACAACAGATGTTATTGAAGCAAAATAAGGCAAGAACTCAAAATTGACCAGTGCATAAAAAAATCAGTGGGTTTGCCTGTATTGTCTTGCCTTATTCTAAAGTAGATTTGATATTTGTAAAGACAACATGCATGATGCTCACCCGCTCAAATCTCTGTCACAGGGTGTTTCCATGCTGCTCAAGTCCCTCCTTCAATGTAAGTTTGTGGGTTTTGTCAAATCAGCAAGAGCAACAACAATAGTCACGATCGACACCACAAATTAAGAAGAAACGCTTAATGAATTGCTTTGGCAGCAAAGCAGATATGTTTATTAAGCACTTTAATATGTCAGAAAATTCAGCTCAATATAATACAGGAAATTAAATTTCAAAATGTGAAAGTTTTCAATGTACACTGTCAGCTATTTACAATCAAACTTCTCTTGCAATGAACTCCAGGCTCAGAACCAAAACAGCTGAACAAAGGAGAAAAAAAAAAAAAACAGTAAAACAGATGGCTTGAGATTTCTGAATACTGTCCAGGGTTCATCTTCATCTTAAAAGGCTCATTCTCTGTCTGTCCTTGTACAAGGCTTAGTAAAGTGCCTTTCTGTAATTCTTCAGAGGACAAGCTTTCTGATGCAGTTACACCCAATATGGCCTTACTGAGCATCTCCTCTCATAGCAAACAGATGTCTGAAATCCACTCCACACCCGCCCCGTTCTCCCTCCCCCACAGAGAGCCACGGCTCGGAGACATGAGATCCGGCTTCACAAGACCGTGGGCTTTTTTGTTTTAACTTTGGCTTGAGGAGTATACATTTCAAACCCTGTCCTGAAATCCAAATATTACTGCGGTTTGCTTGGCATGAAAAGCACAATGACCTTTCGCTGACCTTATCATCAGAAGTCCCTGACGTCGCCTGCCGCTTTCCCACCGCCGCACAAACTAGGATACGGCTTGTTGCATTTTTTTTAGTCACTGAGAACTCCGTATTTAGCACCAAACTCTGTAGTTAACGATACACTGCTGTTTGTTTAAATATGCAATTATGTAAATAGAGGAAAACACAAACAAACAAACAAATAAAAAGACAGGTCCCACAGGGACTAAATAATGAAGTACGGTAAAGCCAGAGTTACTCTTCTTTAAGGGCATCAATAATGCTACAAACATAATATAGAGTTAAAATGCCAGAGTAAGAGGTTTGTGGTTTAGAAATAATAATAAAAAATATATAATAGGCGACGCCAAAACATAGCACCATGATTTTAGCAAATACAGCACACACGGAAGCGGCTTTTTCTCCGAAATAAATATGTGCGAAGAGTAAACTAAGACTGGTTTCGTGATTTTATGAGTGCGCCGAAGGACTAATGGAGACTTTAAGAGATTTAAAGATGTGAATACGACGGAGAGAGTTTGTGATATCTGTCAGAGGAAACAATGTACTCCAGCGGCACATTGCTGTCAGTTGCACTTATACAGGTCAAGACAAAACAAACAGAAAAATTTACATTTCTTTTTTTTTTTTAAAGTAAACTCTGATAAACAAACAAACAAAGCATTAAAAGGCAAAAAAAAAACTAAATACAATTTAGATGTTTTTCAAAAAAGAACACAAGGGAAGAAAGTGCATCCACTGCCTATTAAATATTAATGCATTAAATAAAAGCGTCTGTGTGCATCATGGTCACCACAAGAAGGCTGGAGCATCGACAGGCACGAGTATGAATTTGCATCACCGTTGGGCAATAATCCCTCTTCGGTTTCTCGCACGTTCCTTTCTTCTTGAGACGTTCCACAGTGTGGAAAATGGTTTCAGTTATTTTGCGGATGAAAGCATTCACTTTGGCACAGTCTTTTTCTGAATGATGAATTAGGACATCTGAAACGGCATCAAAACTACTTGGGTCAGTATTTGAGACATTCTTACAACATGTAGATAAGTGGTTCTTAAACTTTTCAGACCAAGTACCACCTTTGATCGAATCAGCGTGTCTTAAACACTACCTAGTCGCCAAGTTTCTTCGAAAACCAACATATTTAACCAGATTTAAATTAATATTCCTTGTTGTTTAGATAAATCGTGCTGCCCTTTGCAGTAGAAGAGCATCTAAAAACATGCATATACCACAATAGTAGCATTTAGAGGTTTGTGGTACACGCACCATAGTTTGAGAACCACTGACATAAGCTTTTTTAAAGACAAAGGCTTTATACTCTATATATAACATATAAAAACTCACTGCTATAAACACTACAAAATTACAGCTTTATGTAATAATACACTGGAAATATACATGACAAACTAATAATATTGTGAATGTAAGTTACAAATGTGCTTTCAGCCACAAAATAGTCTTTAAACGTCATGTACTCACCAGTTATAACGGCGTCTCTTTTTTGCAGTTTGACCCAGAGTCCGATCCTTCAATCTGGAGCTGTAGGGCTTGTTTCAGGCTTAATTCCGTCTCTCCTATTGGGTAATTGTCCAGAAGGTCCTGGTGGCCCCTGCTGGAAACAGTTCTGGGGACTGAAACTCTCCCAAGAAAAACCTGGTTTCCCTGTAGGTGGTAGTTGGGGTTGGTCATAATACCATTCCTCTTCTTCTCTGCACAGCTCTGGGGCTGAATGTAAAACTGCTCCTGCGATTGGACAGAATCCAGAGTGCTGGATCTTCCTACCATGATCTTACATTGAGGATCTTTAACTGCAATGTTGGACACTGGCTTATTGAGCACAAGCCTTTTATCAAACTGAGTCAGTTCGTACTCAAGAACCTGGTTCTGCGAATAAGAGCCATTCTTGCTCTTCTTCTTCTCACCAGATGTTCCTTTGTTTGAGCAGTTTTGGCCATTCTTGGACGCTTTGGTGGACTTCAGGCCTGGCTTCACCTGGCTCCAATCATACTCGCTGGTTGGAGAGCCAGGCTGAGTGCCGATGGACCTGGTGGTGGAGGAGGGAGAAACGATTGATTGACGACTGCGACTGCGAGGCAGTGAATGCTGCTGGATCTGTTCAATAAAAGAAAGGGCATGGACGCTGTCAATGGGGACAGTCTGGGCAGTCGCAGTGGATGAGGTGGTCCTCAACGAAGAGTTCTTTGAACTTTTGAGTGAGTTATTGGAGAGGGAGGACTTCTGCCGGTCCACTGTTGAGTCTGGAGACTCTGACGGTGAGCTGAAAGCATGAACAGGTCCGTTGGATTGTCCTCGTCCTGCTGAATGCACTTCGCCAGCTCCTGTGCTTCCAGAGCTGCTGGACTTTATAGTGAGTGACTGTACTTTCCCAGCAAGCGAAGCGGGCGTTTGCTGCTCCATGGTGTGCACGGGAGACGGGTTGCAGCCATTGAGACTTGTGGCGCCGTATTTTTCCAAGAGTTTGATTATGGATGTGTGACCACCTTTGGCTGCCACTCTCATGGCAGTGCGTCCAAACTGATCAGCGTGATTACCACAAGAAGGCTGGAGCATCGACAGGCACGAGTATGAATTTGCATCACCGTTGGGCAATAATCCCTCTTCGGTTTCTCGCACGTTCCTTTCTTCTTGAGACGTTCCACAGTGTGGAAAATGGTTTCAGTTATTTTGCGGATGAAAGCATTCACTTTGGCACAGTCTTTTTCTGAATGATGAATTAGGACATCTGAAACGGCATCAAAACTACTTGGGTCAGTATTTGAGACATTCTTACAACATGTAGATGAGTGGTTCTTAAACTTTTCAGACCAAGTACCACCTTTGATCGAATCAGGGTGTCTTAAACACTACCTAGTCGCCAAGTTTCTTCGAAAACCAACATATTTAACCAGATTTAAATTAATATTCCTTGTTGTTTAGATAAATCGTGCTGCCCTTTGCAGTAGAAGAGCATCTAAAAACATGCATATACCACAATAGTAGCATTTAGAGGTTTGTGGTACACGCACCATAGTTTGAGAACCACTGACATAAGCTTTTTTAAAGACAAAGGCTTTATACTCTATATATAACATATAAAAACTCACTGCTATAAACACTACAAAATTACAGCTTTATGTAATAATACACTGGAAATATACATGACAAACTAATAATATTGTGAATGTAAGTTACAAATGTGCTTTCAGCCACAAAATAGTCTTTAAACGTCATGTACTCACCAGTTATAACGGCGTCTCTTTTTTGCAGTTTGACCCAGAGTCCGATCCTTCAATCTGGAGCTGTAGGGCTTGTTTCAGGCTTAATTCCGTCTCTCCTATTGGGTAATTGTCCAGAAGGTCCTGGTGGCCCCTGCTGGAAACAGTTCTGGGGACTGAAACTCTCCCAAGAAAAACCTGGTTTCCCTGTAGGTGGTAGTTGGGGTTGGTCATAATACCATTCCTCTTCTTCTCTGCACAGCTCTGGGGCTGAATGTAAAACTGCTCCTGCGATTGGACAGAATCCAGAGTGCTGGATCTTCCTACCATGATCTTACATTGAGGATCTTTAACTGCAATGTTGGACACTGGCTTATTGAGCACAAGCCTTTTATCAAACTGAGTCAGTTCGTACTCAAGAACCTGGTTCTGCGAATAAGAGCCATTCTTGCTCTTCTTCTTCTCACCAGATGTTCCTTTGTTTGAGCAGTTTTGGCCATTCTTGGACGCTTTGGTGGACTTCAGGCCTGGCTTCACCTGGCTCCAATCATACTCGCTGGTTGGAGAGCCAGGCTGAGTGCCGATGGACCTGGTGGTGGAGGAGGGAGAAACGATGGATTGACGACTGCGACTGCGAGGCAGTGAATGCTGCTGGATCTGTTCAATAAAAGAAAGGGCATGGACGCTGTCAATGGGGACAGTCTGGGCAGTCGCAGTGGATGAGGTGGTCCTCAACGAAGAGTTCTTTGAACTTTTGAGTGAGTTATTGGAGAGGGAGGACTTCTGCCGGTCCACTGTTGAGTCTGGAGACTCTGACGGTGAGCTGAAAGCATGAACAGGTCCGTTGGATTGTCCTCGTCCTGCTGAATGCACTTCGCCAGCTCCTGTGCTTCCAGAGCTGCTGGATTTTATAGTGAGTGACTGCACTTTCCCAGCAACCGAAGCGGGTGTTTGCTGCTCCATGGTGTGAACAGGAGACGGGTTGCAGCCATTGAGACTCGTGGCGCCATATTTCTCCAAGAGTTTGATTATGGAGGTGTGACCACCCTTGGCTGCCACTCTCATGGCAGTGCGTCCAAACTGATCAGCGTGATTCGGATCCGCACCATGCTCTAGAAGAGTCTGAACCACATCAATGTGCCCCTCTTGAGCTGCGATGCCCAGAGCTGTAGCACCCTGGTTGCATGTGTGGTCTACAACGGTGCCATTGTCAATCAAGATTTGAACAATCTTTATGTGACCCTGCCAAGCTGCCGACTGGAGGGCGGAGCGTTTCTCATTATCACATGAGTTCACATCTGCATGGTAGTTGATTAGTAACCTGACCATCTCTACATGGCCTTGCCAACATGACACATGCAAGGCCGTTCTTCCTTCCAAATCACTGGCCTCAACATTGGCTCCGTTTTCGAGGAAGTACTCCGCCATGGCTAGCTGATTCTCAAGTGCCAGGATGTAAAGAGTTGGGCGACCATCTGCATCTTTGAAGTCAATATCCGCCCCGTGGCTCAGCAACAACTCCTCGATGTCTCTGTGTCCTTCTAGTGCTGCAACTCGGAGAGCATTTCTCCCATCGTACCCTCTCTGGTCAATACACGACTTGTTCTCCAGCAAGATGTGCACACAGTCGTAATGACCCTCTTGAGCAGACAGAATCAAAGGGATACGTCCATCATTGTCAACCTCTGTGCAGCGGGCACCTTGTTCAATGAGAGCATCACAAACTTGTCTGTGTCCCTCAAAAGCGGCCATGTGCAACGGCGTCCAGCCTGCATCATCTCTGTGGTTTTCATCCAGTCCTCTGTCCAGCAGAGTTCGGACGACCTCCACGTTCCCCTGTGCAGATGCAATGCTCAGCACGGTCCTGCCTTCACTGTCGATACTGTCCACTGCCGCACCCCAGAAAAGCAGAGTGTTGACAACAGAAGCGTGTCCCATAGACGCTGCAGCAAGCAAAGGTGTTCTCCCATTGTTATCAGTGTGATCAACATCCGCTCCTCCTTCTAGAAGCAGATCAACCACATCCACATGGCCTTCGTAGGCAGCCACCAGAAGCGGGGTCATGCAGTCCTTGTCACAGTGGTCCACCTCGGCTCCACGGTCGATCAGTAGGCTCACGACCGCACCATGGCCTTTGCTGGCTGGCACACAAAGAGCAGCGACGGAGAGTGCCGTCCTGCCATCCATATCCTCATGGTTGACCTCAGCTCCATGATCCAACAGATGCTCGACAATTTCTCTGTGGCCCATGTATGCTGCAGCAATCAACGCCGTTCGTCCTTCATTATCCGCCTTGTTGACTTCGGCTCCATGCTGAAGAAGGTTGAGGACAATATCTTCATGACCTCCCCAAGCGGCAGCTCTCAGGGCAGTTCTACTGTCAGCATCTGCACAGTCCACTTTAGCGCCTGCATACAGGAGCGCAGACACAACTTCCGAGTGACCTCCCCAGGCTGCAGACCTAAGGGCAGTCCAGCCGTCATGGTCCGTGTGATTGATGTTAGCATCACACCCGATGAGACAGTTGACTACCTTGGTGTGGCCTTGTCTAGCTGCCAGAGTAAGTGCTGTCTGTCCATGGTTGTCCCCCAACTCCATGTTGGCTCTTCTGGAGATGAGAAGGTTCACAACGTCCAGATTTCCACTGTAGGCAGCATTGGCTAAAAGAGTTCTCCCGTTGGAGTCCGTTTGATTAACTGAAGCGCCATTATCTAATAGAGTTCGAATAGAGTCCTCACGTTCCAAGGCCTGTTGCAAAATGCAGCAAGCATGGTCATCTTCATTGCTGACGTGAGCCCCAGCTTTGACTAGTAGTTGGAGTACCTCCTGTTCTTTTGGGATTGAAGTGGACAGGGAGTCTTTAGCAGGGGTGCCATTCCACACCATCCAAAGGGCGAGATTAAAGGGCTCAATCTGCAGGTTCGAGTTGATCAGGTGGTAGGCAAACTCCTGCACCTCCAGAGGCTTAAGCTGCTTTGCTCTGCACGTGTAACTCATGGCCATCATTCTATGTCCTTCTGCTGCATTGCAAAGGTATTTTTGTGTGCAGTGTTTAACATCCAGGAGCCATTCAGCAAAGCTGTAGTGAAATAAGATCTTAGTACTGCCAAGTCCATCAATAAGCAACTTGGAGAGAATGTCCATCTTCTTCTGAAAGTCCTCCATTGTCAAAGTCATGTTTTTAGTCCAGACTGCATAATAGAGCTCCCTGACAGTCAGCGGCCTGCAGGCAGCCAGAATCACATTTAGGATTGGCTGGACTTTGGCGAACTGCTTTCTGACAAACAGTCTCTGGCAGAGCCAAAGGTAGAGTCCATTCAGTGTCCCCGGGATGTCTCGGATTTCCCGCAGCATGATGAAGTTCTCAACCACTCCATCAAGAACTCGCTCAAGGTAAAGGAAGCAGCCACTGCTCTTGATGTGAAGCTGATTCAGCATCTCTGCTGTCTCCTTGGTGAGGTGTTGTCGCAGGGCCTCCTCCTGGTCTAGGCGGTGGAGGATGTATTGCTGCACATCTTTTACGATGTAGGCCTTCCGTAAGTCATCTAGGCTGATCTTTCTGAATCCTAAAAGAAGGACAGAGACAAAAGGTGATTAGTTTGGCCTGAAGTCCGTACAGAAGATTGCTAGTGTCACATTTGGTCACAGTGAGGTTTTTCTATAAAGAAACTAACTTACTAAATCAGTAAGATGATAGCTATGAGTATCAGCCTGAGAATTTCATAGCATTTACTGAATTCTAGAAAACTGGGAAATGAGCAGACCACACTGACTTTGCATATTTTATCTGGTGATGTCAGCTACAATCTGACGCGTTTTCATAAAAGATTAAGTTTTAGGTAAACAAATTAGATTCGCTTTGGAAAGACGTGTGTTCAAAAATACAAATTTATAGCCGTGTTTGCATACCCCTTTTGTCTCCTAAATTGCAGAATTCATAAAAAAAAATATAAAGATATGCATATTTCCCACAATACAAAATAATAACAATTTACATTATTCATCCTATTTACAAAAGTTTTCCTAGTATGTCTTCTTGTTATTAATAAATATTTGCACCTATTGTAGTTTTTGTGTGTGTCTCCCTCAATTGTGAAAAGCTCAAAATGTGCTTTTTCTAAAGAACAGTGGCAGCTTCTTACAAATTTATAGCCGTGTTTGCATACCCCTTTTGTCTCCTAAACTGCAGAATTTATTAAAAAATATATAAATAAAGATATGCATATTTCCCACAATACAAAATAATAACAATTTACATTATTCATCCTATTTACAAAAGTTTTCCTAGTATGTCTTCTTGTTATTAATAAATATTTGCACCTATTGTAGTTTTTGTGTGTGTCTCCCTCAATTGTG